GGGCGGATCACAAGGTCAGGAGATCGAGACCATCCTGGCTAATAAGGTGAAACCCCGTCTCTACCAAAAATACAAAAAATTAGCCAGGCGTGGTGGCGGGCTCCTGTAGTCCCAGCTACTGCAGAGGCTGAGGCAGGAGAATCGCTTGAACTTGGGAGACGGAGGTTGCAGTGAGCTGAGATCGCTCACTTGAGATCGCGCCACTGCACTCCAGCCTGGCGACACAGCGAGACTCCAGTTCAAAAAAAAAGTAGAGACGGAGGTCTCACGATGTTGACCAGGCTAGTCTCGGACTCCTCACCTCAAGCCATCCTCAGGTCCAGGTCTCCCAAAGTGCTAGGATTAAGGCCTGAGTCACCGCGCCCAGCAGAACGCATTTAGTTCTCACTGTAACTTTCTGAGGCAGGCTGTGCTGTTATCTTCACCACACAGAGGGAACTGTGGCTTAGACAAGAAAAGCGCCAGCCAGCCGGTGGTCAGGCAGGATTTGAACTCAAGCACACGGTGCCCATCCAGTCCCGATGGACTCTGACTCCTCCGACAGCGGAGGGAGCGAGTCGCCTGGTGAACAATGAGTGTCTCAGGGTCCCGAGTATAAGATGGGGCGTCTGATGTGTCGCGGGGTCCTGCCTGGCCGTGTCCGGGTCTCTGGGAGGGCCAAGGCAGAGGACGACGATCCGGGGCAGGGTGGCCGGCACTGCTCTCCCTGAGGGCCGGGGCTGCGCGCTGCGCGGTCTGTGCGAGGGGTACGCCGGGCTCCGCCTCGCCTTCCTGCCCCGTCTCCCAGTCCTCCGCCCTGGCCCTGCCAAAGGGAGCCCGGCCCGGGCCCTCGGCTACCGGCGGGGATGCGGGGTCCTGCTGATGCCGCAGCCCTGGCAGGGGACGGGGCGTGGAGGGAGTGGGCCGGTGCTGGCGCAGCCGCAGAACTGTGCCGGAGGGACTGTGACCCCGATGGCCCTCTCTGAGCCTTGGTTACTTCCTCCGTAAAATGGGGCTTGAGTAGCGCCTCCGCGACGGGGAAGAGGGCTCGCAGGGACAGCGCGCCAGAGAGCCCAGGGCAGCGCGAGGAAGGCGCCTGCGGCTCCCTCCCAGGCCCATCCCACTGCCGATCCCGCCCAGGGGTGGCCCCGAGCATTTCCTGAAGGACCTCAGGAAATACCAGGCCCCCGCCCCCCCCCCCGCCCCCGCCCCCGCCCGTCCGCCCGCTCGCGTCCAGCTCCCTGGCCGCCCCTCCCCCGCCTCCTTCCGGCCGGGCCCCTGCTCTCATCTTGGCCTGCTGAGGCTGCAGGGCTTGGCCCGGCCTTTGAGAATCTCCCGCCGCCTTCCCGAGCCTTCTAGATGTATCTGCGCCGCCTCCTCTCTCCCTCCCCTTCCTTCCAGCCCTTCATTCCCTCACTGCGGGCAGGCCCGCAGGCCCCGCGCAAACGTGGGGAAAGGTAGGTTGAGGGGGCTGTGTCCGATAATGGGCAGCCACACCCAGTAGGCCAATCAGCTGCAGGAAAGAGGCCAAAGGAATTGGAAGAGATTCTGGGAACCCAGAAAAGGAATCAGGGAAGGCTGCCTGGAGGAGGCGACATTTAAGTTTGGACTGGAAGAGCAAGGCGGGTCAGACAATAATTCATGTATTTACCAAGCATTTATTGGGCACTTATTGTGTTCAAGACCCTGGGGTTGGGGCAGGAGGCAAGATAACTGTGTCCTCATAGGTTTTGCAGTAGGGAAAACAGTGGAGGCAACCATCTCACAAACTGCTGGAGCTGAGACCACCAGAGGGGACAATAGAATGTTAGTTCCATCTGATCAATGAGACCAGAGAGGACTGGGATGAAATGACTTGCCCACAGTCACAAGTGGTAGAACTGGGATTCGAACCTGTGCTACATGGAACATGAGCCCCTAACCACAGGAATCTCTGTGGCTTTTCAAAACAAACACGCTGCTGCACACAGGAGCAGCTGCCAGCCTGCCCTGCAGCAGCCATAGCCATGCTGCAGGCCCCACCGGGGGGCAGGTGCTGGCAGAGGGGACAGCCAGCCATTGGTGGGAGACCTTGCCCTGGGGAGAGGCAGCAGCGGAAATTGCTGTGGGATGGTGGAGGCTGTGGTGGCCATGATGTGGTTGCTTCAGGGGCCCTGTGGTTCCAACCGGGGCACTGTGCCTGCCTCCTGTGGCTTCTTCACCCACAGAGAACCCTCACTGGGGCCATGTCCTGCTTCCTGGAGCTGAGATTGAGTCTGGGAGCCCAGGTGGAACCCTTCTCACTCTCCAGGGAACTCCCACTCTTTATCTCCTGGGAGGCTGGGCTAGCATTTCTGCCTTATAGAAGAGGAAACCAGGGTCAGAAAGGCATGATGGCTGGTCCAGGGCCACACAGCAGAAGGGCTGTGTCTGCTCAGTGACTGAAGATATGCGGCTCTTTTCTTGATACTCCATTCATTCATTCATTCATTCACTGTAACACGTGCACATATCCTTTGGGTACTGACTATTCCCTTGCACAGCAACCTGAAGCCTTCCAGCTAAGCTTGAGCACCCGAGGACCAGTGACTGTGCCTGGGGGCTTCATCCAGCAGCTGCAGCCTGCTGGCACCTGCCCCAGAAGGCTGCCGTAGTGCTAGGGTAGGCTGTAAAGTGCTATCCCACCAGTAGCCTTGATGCATGACTGACCTGGTGAGAGTTAGTGAAAAACAGTTCCGCATCATCACCCAAGGTTCTCCAGCTGTCCGTAGTGTTATGTGCTAATTCCCATACCCTTTATTGGCTTCTTCCCTTTCCTGTGTCATTTCCCTGACAACCTAAACGTGATTCTTGGGATCGCATTCAAACCAAAAACCTTGCACTGGAATTTTTGTTCCAGACTGGGCTTCTGAGGGTAGCAAACGAAGACATTCATTTATTCAGTCTTCAAACACGATTGACGTAACCTGAGCCCGGCCCCATGCTGGGCTCTGGGGATGTGGGCAAGATTCATCGGCGTTTCCTGGCCTCCAGAGCCCTTTGCTTGGTGGGAGAGGCAGGAACAGCTTCTGATGATTCTAATCCAGTGTGGTTAATGACATTATCACATCATCTCCAGGGAGAGTGACCCCTTCTGCCTGGGAGGTCAAGCGGCTTCTCCAAAGATGTTCCCCTCCCGCTTGGCTTTGAAGGATGAGGAGGCGTTCCCCAGCGGGACCAAGGGGCTAAGGAAATGGCATTATTGGCAAAGAGAACAGCACGTGCAGACCAGGAGCAGGAGCAAGGAGGGGCTGACAGATGGTGGCACTAGGGATGTTGGCAGGGTCAGACCGTGCCAGACTTGAAGGCCAGGGGAGACCCTGGGACTGTGGCATGGTAATGGGAAACCACCACTGAAAGTTTTGGAGCAAGGGCAGGATTTGGTTTTAGGAAACGCACTTTCTCTGAAAAGACCTACAGGTTTAATGTCCTTCCTTCCTCATTGTAACTCCCAGCAAGTCAAGGGAGGCCACCCTGGTGCAGCTGAACTGCAGGATCGCTGTATGTGGAGCTCTTATTAACACTTCATTCACTGGGTCTTCACACCCTTGAGTGAGGCATCCTTTTTAGTAACCTCTTTTTATAAGTGGGGAAACTGATGCACGGTACAGGAACTGAATCAAGGTCCCATAGCTAGGAAGCAGGGACAGGCACGTTGGCTCACGCCTGTAAATCTCAGCATTTTGGGAGGCCGAGGTGAGCAGATCACCTGAAGTCAGGAGTTCAAGACTGGCCTGACTAAGATGGCAAACCTTATCTCTACTAAACATACAAAAATTAGCCAGGCGTGGTGGCACATGGCTGTAATCCAAGCTACTCGGGAGGCTGAGGCAGGAGAATTGCTTGAACCCAGGAGGCAGAGGTTGCAGTGAGCCGAGATCATGCCACTGCATCTAGCCTGGGCAACAGAGCAAGATTCTTAAAAAATCTTTAAAATGTCTTAAAAAAAAAAAAAAAAAGCTGGGCGCGGTGGCTCATGCCTGTAATCCCAGCATTTTGGGAGGCCAAGGTGGGCGGATCACGAGGTCAGAAGATTGAGACCATCCTGGCTAACACGGTGAAACCCTGTCTCTACTAAAAATACAAAAAATTAGCTGGGCATGGTGGCGGGTGCCTGTAGTCACAGCTACTCGGGAGGCTGAGGCAGGAGAATGGTATGAACCCAGGAGGTGGAGCTTTCTGTGAACTGAGATCGCGTCACTGCAATCTCGGGGGACAGAGTGAGACTCCGTCTCAAAAAAAAAAAAAAAAAAACACCACAAACAAAAAAACAAGAAGAAGAAGAAGCAGCTGTGTTTCTTTGGCTTTAAGCCCATCCTCTACGTTGCCCCACTGCCATGGTTTTCAGAGGCTGGAGGGCTCCAGGAACCACCTTCTCTCCCCAGCACAGCCCTGGGGATGGGTGGGTGGGCAGAGAAGGGACAAGCAGCCCAAGTCACAGCCAGGGACGGAGACAGTGTGGCTTCTTTCGGAGATATGAAGAAGCAGGAGTGTTATTCTTGGCCAGGATGGGAAACGGGTTGGAATCTTGGCGCCTATACTCACTAGCCATGTGGTCTGTAGCAAGCCACATCCTCTCTCTGTGTCTTGCCTTACCCATCTGTAAAATGGTGGCTCCTCATAACCCCCACCTCATAGGGCTGTTGTGAAGACTGCACGTACTGAAGACTCAAATTCTCAGTACACTGCCAGGCACGTAGGAAGAATGTTGTTTTATAGCCCCCATTTGGGAGTGGGTGGACAGGAGCACAGACTCTGGGCTCCAATCCCCAAACTGCCATCTACTAGTCCATTTGTGAGCTGGCTGGTAAATTCACCTCCCTGTGCCTCAATTTCTTCATCAGTAAAATGGGATAACAATGGTGCCTTCCTGGTTGGGTTGTTGTGAAGGGTAAATGAGATGCCACGTGAAAGTGCAGAGGAGAAGGGCTACCATAAGGGGTTCCATGTGGGTGCTGCTGTTATTGTTGGGTACCTACTGCATGCTATGTGCCTGCATACAGGAGTTGACCTTTGAGGCCTGCTTGTTCATGGCTGTTTCACAGATGTCGAAGTGGAGGCTCGGCAGGGTTGGAGGTTACCGGAGTCTCCCAGCTGGTAAGGGCGGTGTCGGGACTGGAACCCCAGCCAGGCTGACTCAGACATCCCTAGGGCCTGCGCCTAGCACGGCAGCTGTGACTCAAGTTTGCAGGAAGAGGAGGAGGAGGGTGGGGTAAATGGGTGCTTGAGGGAAGCCACGACCTCTATTCCCTCAGAAATGGAAGTGCTTGGTGAGGTTTGAGGTGTCTGAGCCGAAGAGCAGCCAGTGACAGGCCTGGGGATCGTCTGACACAGCCCACTTGACAAGGCCTTGGAAACTTTTGGTCTCTGCAGCAGCAACCGGATTTCAGCCTGGGCTTCGGACACCTCAGCCTGGGTACAGATGTGACTTGGGTACAGTCCTTCCCTGGCAGTGGAGGGGATGCCCAGGCTGGTACAGGAGTCTCGGGTCCTCTCTGACTCTACCCCAATCTGCTGTGTGATTTTGGGCCCAGGCAGGGACCCCTCTGGGCTCTGTTACTGGAGAAAAGACAAGTGGCTGGGACAGGTGGGTCCCCAGCCCTCCTTGCCTGGAGGTCTGCGAGTTGGAGGGCTCTGGGGTAAAGCCAGAGCCAAGCCAGGGGAGAGCCTAGGCCACCTGGGCTCATGTCTGGTGAACAGGGTACCCTCTAGCCAAAGCAGGGGCAAGACAAGGCACATGTCCCTCATATGGGAGCTGGGGCTGACCCCCTCTCCCAGCCCTGCACACCTCAAGCACATGGCCTTGGCCCATCTGCCCTGTGGGTGGACACTTTCCAGCCCTGGGTCCTGGACTCCACCAATCAGCAGGAACCTAGACTCCTGAGGGGTGCAGCCTGGATGGGAGGTCAGGGAACTGGGTTCCTGAGCACATCTCTGGGCCATTCTTCTCTCCATTGGTTTCCCAAATGTGGACTGAGCACACACTGTGAGTCAGGCCTGAGCTAGGTTCTAGGGATGCTACTGTCAACAAGACAGATGAAGGTTCCTGCCCTCATGGAGGGGAGGGAGACAATAAGCAAATAAATAAATTCATGATGTAATGTCAGCCAGGGAGCGATGCTGCTAAGCAGGGCGGGGGTGGGGAGTGACGCAGGCTGCTGTTGGGGAGGCACCGTTGTAGTGGTCAGGAAGACTGCTCTGAGAGGCAGACTGAGGGAAAGAGGAAGGACATCTAGATGTCTGAGGGAAGGGCCATTTAGGCAGAGGGAACAGCACAGGGCTCAGTGTGTGTGTGGAGGGGTGAGGTTGGAGGGGGCTCCGTGTGCAAGGGTGCCAGTGGGGAAGGGGGACAGGCTGTGAGTGGACAGGGCTATAGACTTCATTCTAACTGCGACACAAAGGACTTGCAGGGTTTGGGAGGGGGACATGATCTCATTTGGTCTTCCCAATAACCCCCTGCCAGAAAGACAGAGCTCCAAATTGCAGTGAGGAAGCTGAGGCTCAGAGGACATCCCAGCACATGTCTAGGGTGTCATATCATCATTGGAGGAGCTGGGACTCAAACCCAACTCTGGAAACTGTTTTGTCCTCAGCTCCGTGATAACATTGTGTGAGGTGCCGGGTGCAGCTCCCAACTCCTCCCTGCCCAACCACCACGCTCTGTTAGCCTGTGGTCTACAGAGTGACTTCCACCAGGGATGCCTTGCCTTCTTCTTCTTTTTTTTTTTTTTGAGACAGGGTGTTTCTCCATTGCCCAGGCTGAAGTGCAGCGGTGCGATGGTAACTCACTGCAACCTCAACCTCCTGGGCTTAACTGATCCTCCCACCTCAGCCTCTCAAGCAGCTGAGGTTACAGATGCACACGAACACGTCTGGCTAATTAAAGAACAATTTTTTTCTTTTTTTTGTAGAGATGGGATCTCATTGGGTTGCCCAGGCTGGTCTGAAACTCCTGCCCTCAAGTGATCCCCCCATCTCAGACTCCCCAAGTGCTAAGATTGACCCACTACTCCCATCTGAGATGCCTTATCTTTTATCCCTTTACTCTACAAATATGTGCTTAGGCTTTGCTGTCTGTGGCCAGAACCTTGCAGGGGTGAGAGACACAGGGAAATGAGAGCTGGTCCCAGCCCTCCCTTAGAAAGCTGCTGGACCACAGGGTGGCAAAACAAGTTGTCTGTCACATCCGGGAGCAGATGCTATGAGGATAAGCAGCCAGAGAAGACCCCTAACTTGATCTGTGGCCATCAGAGAAGGCACCCAAGGCAGGATGCCTCCCTGAATCCTAAAGCCAATTAGCAGTCAGCCAGGAGAGCTGCTAGAGGGTGTCTATGGGGGAGTGGAGAGGATGTTCCAGGCAGAGGGAACAGCAGACTGGAAGGCTCAGAGGTGAGTGTGAGCAGGCAGTCTCAGGGACCCCAGGCAGTTGGTGAGGATGCAGTGCTCAGGGGAGGTGTGCCGACAGGTGAGCTGTCAGGGTCAGGTCCCTGGGGGCTGGCTTGTCCTTTCCGCCATTGTCTGAGTGAGTGGGTGACTGGTATCTAGTGGTCCAGATGAAGATAATGGAGATACAATTGTGTTCTTCTTTCTGCTCAGTGCCTCTCAGTTAAGCACATCTGCAAAAATTAATAATAACATATGCTTTTACATCCTCCACTTAAATTTCCTTTGGAGTAAAGAAAGTAATGGAGGGAAAGGAAGAACAGCAGGAAGGAGTGAGAGAGGGAGAGAGGGAGGGGAGAAAGAAACAAAAGAAGGAAAATAATTCGGGGGAAAAAATTGTCCTTTTCTGGGCTAAGATAGCCCCAGTCTTTGCATTTTCTCACCCACTGAGTCACCAGCCTCCTGCCCTCTTTCAGGACTGTACATCTTGGCCTCTTACCTACTGTGTCTGCGTCAACCTCCCTCACAGCCTGATGGCCCCTGCGGCAGCCCCACCCCAGTTGTAGGGGCTAAGAAAACTACAGTTGCATGAAAGAGCAGAAGTGAGTGAGAGGCAGAAGTGGCGGGGAGAACCAGTCTGGAGAGGTGTTCCGAGATCTCTAGACCAGCCAGTGGATCCTGATGCCTCACATGGTCAGCCTTGTCTAGAGCCCTTTCCAGCATGGAGGCCAGCCCTCCTGGCATTCTTCTAATGACACTGAGCTATGAGTTATGTGTGCCAAGTCTGTGCTGGGTTTTGTACCAAGTGCTTTCCATTCATCAGTTCAGGGTAGTGAAGCAGGTAGCTCCAGGCTCAGAGAGGAACAGGGACTTGTCCCAGTTTACACAGCTGGAAAGTGGCTGAGTCTGGATTCAAACCCAGACTTCCTCGTCTCTAGGACCTGTATATATTTTTTTTTTTTTTTGAGACAGAGTCTCGCTCTGTCGCCCAGGCTGGAGTGCAGTGGCGCAATCTCGGCTCACTGCAAGCTCCGCCTCCCGGGTTCACGCCATTCTCCTGCCTCAGCCTCCTGAGTAGCTGGGACTACAGGCGCCCGCCACCGCGCCCGGCTAATTTTTTGTATTTTTAGTAGAAACAGGGTTTCACCGTGGTCTCGATCTCCTGACCTTGTGATCCGCCCGCCTCGGCCTCCCAAAGTGCTGGGATTACAGGCGTGAGCCACCGCGCCCGGCCAGGACCTGTATTTTCAACTACTGCCTATGCCTCTATAAGGAGCCAGCTTATGGCTACGTTCACACAAAGAGAAAAACATCCAAATGGGAAGGCTGGAGAATTCAAACAATCTTCCCACACGTCGGACAGTCCTGTTTCCCTCTCCCTTCATAGAAAGTCCTGGATTATATTGAAACAGGGTCTTTCTCTGTTACTCAGGCTGGAGTGCAGTGGTGTGATCACAGCTTACTGCAGCCTTGATGTCCCTGTCTCCCTGATCTCAGGCGATCCTCCCACCCCAGCCTCCTGAGTAACTGTGACTATCCCTAGTAGCTGAGACTACAGGTGTGCACCATGCCATCACCCCTCACTAATTATTTTATTTTTTGTAAAGACAGGTTTTTTTTCGCTGTGTTACTCTGGCTGGTCTTGAACTCCCAGGCTTGAGTGATCCACTGACTCCCGAAGTGTTGGGATTACAGGCATGAGCCACTGCACCTGGCCTGACATCTCAGTCTTGATTTGTAGTTTTTGCCCAAAACGATCGAGTGTAATGCAGGCCAGAAGTGGTCAGGGGGCAGGGACAGTCCCCAGCATGGTGGCCAGTCTTCTTTCTGCAACATTTTTGGAATACAAGCATGCTATTACACACAAAACATGATTGGGAGGGCACTGGATGAATACAACTAAGATTTAAGCATTATTTCAACAAATATATACACAGAGCTAAATCAGTATCAGGAAGTAGTGGAGAAGCACTCAGAATAAGTACAGATCTCCACAGCTGTAAGAGTCTTGTTACTTTTTTTTTTTTTTTGAGACGGATTCTTGCCCTGTTGCCTAGGCTGGAGCGCAGTGGTGCGATCTTGGCTCGCTGTAACCTCCGCCTCCTGGATTCAAGTGGTTCTTCTGCCTCAGCCCCCCAAGTAGCTTGCATTAAGGAGCATGTACACAAAGCAAGGGAAGGGTCCCTGAAGAGATCCCGGCCCATAGGGTCAGTGCCTCATTCCCACATAATATAAAAAGCAGCCTGGGACAGGTGCCCACCACCACATCTGGCTAATTTTTGTATTTTTTAGTAGAGATGGGGTTTCACCAAATTGGCCAGGCTGGTCTCAAACTCCTGACCTGGTGATCCACCCTCGTCGGCCTCCCAAAGTGCTGGGATGACAGGCGTGAGCCACCGCACCCGGCCACATTCTTTTTTTTTTGTTTTTTTTTTTGAGACGGAGTCTCGTTCTATTGCCCAGGCTGGAGTGCAGTGGCACGATCTCATCTCACTGCAATCTCGGGCTCCCGGGTACAAGCAATTCTCCTGCCTCAGCCTCCCGAGTAGCTGGGATTACAGGCGCCTACCACCATGCCCAGCTAATTTTTGTATTTTTTTTTGGTAGAGATGGGGTTTCACCATGTTGGTCAGGCTGGACTCAAACTCCTGACTTCATGATCCGCCCACCTTGGCCTCCCAAAATGCTGGGATTACAGGCATGAGCCACTGTGCTTGGTCAGCTGTTTATCGATTTTGAGTATGTTATTGATTTTGTGAATGGAGAAAGGATCATCGGGTAGGGTTCTTTGATCTAGAGCAAAAGAAATGGATTCTGATTCACCAAAGGGGAAAAAAGAGCGGGGTAGATTTAGTGGAAAGAAGTGGAGTAGCTCAGAGAATCAAAGGCAAGCCAGCACGGTGGCTCACACCTATAATCCCAAATACTTGGGAGGCTGAGGTGGGACGATCACTTGAGCCCAGGAGTTTGAGGCTGCAGTGAGCCATGATCATGCCACGGTGCTCCAGCCTGGGTAACAGAACAAGACTGTCTCAAAACAAATAAACAAAACAAAACAAAGGCCAGGCTTGGACAGGCCACCACCCAAGGTAGCTCCAGGATCTCAGAAATGAGAATTAACAGGCAAGTTTTTTGTTTGTTTTTTGAGGTGGAGTCTCACTCTGTCACCCAGGCTGGAGTATAGTGGTGCGATCTCGGCTCACTGCAACATCTGCCTCCCACATTCAATGGATTCTCCTTCCTTAGCCTCCTGAGAAGCCGGGACTACAGGCGTGCACCACCATGCCCTGCTAATTTTTGTATTTTTAGTAGAGACAGGGTTTCACCATGTTTGCCAAGCTGGTCTTGAACTCCTGACCTCAGGTGATCCGCCTGCCTCAGCCTCCCAAAGTGCTGGGATTACAGGCATGAGTTACCGTGCCTGACCAACAGGCAAGTTTTTGAAGGCAACACTGCTGTGGGTGGTCCACAGGGTGGATAGATGCTGGGCAGTTAATTCAATGGAGGACCTCTCCAGGTGGCTAGGGTGTTGGCTGACAACATGCAAATCCCCAGAGCTCTCACCTGCGGCTGGCATGTGAAACCCCACTGAACATGAAGCAATTTTGTTCTTTAAATCCTACCTTTGGATCTGAGAACCAAATATAGGCTGAGATACCTGGCCTACCAGTAACCTTTAGTCTAGACTATGGAATTTCCCTTTTAGAAACTTACCCTGCAGATAAATTTGCGCAGGAATGCAAAAATATATATGAGAAACAGAATGCAGGGTATAATGTACTTCATCTGCTGGGGACTGGTTAAATATAGGAAGGCTTTAAGAATGAGGTTGGAGGCCGGGCATGGTGGCTCATGCCTGTAATCCCGGCACTTTGGGAGGCCAAGGCGGGTGGATCACGACATCAGGAGATTGAGACCATCCTGGCTAACACAGTGAAACCCCGTCTCTACTAAAAAAAAAAAAAAAAAAAAATACAAAAAATACAAAAAATTAGCCGGGCGAGGTGGTGGATGCCTGTAGTCCCAGCTACTTGAGAGGCTGAGGCAGGAGAATGGCATGAACCTGGGAGGCGGAGGTTGCAGTGAGCTGAGATCACACCACTGCACTCCAGCCTGGGCAACACAGTGAGACTCCGTCTCAAAAAAAAAAAAAGAATGAAGATTGGGCGCAGGGGCTCATGCCTGTAATCCCAGCACTTTGGGAGACTGAGGTGGGTAGATCACCTGAGGTCAGGAGTTCGAGACCAGCATGGCCAATGTGGCGAAACCCCATCTCTACTAAAAATAAAAAAAGTAGGGGCCAGGAGTGATGGCTCACGCCTGTAATCCCAGCACTTTGGGAGGCCGAGGTGGGTAGATCACTTGAGGTCGGGAGTTTGAGACCAGCCTGGCCAACATAGTGAAACCCCATCTCCACTAAAAATACAAAAAAGCTGGGCATGGTGGCACATGCCTGTAATCTCAATTACTCGGGAGGCTGAGGCAGGAGAATCGCTGAACCTGGGAGGGAGAGGTTGCAGTGAGCTGAGGTTGCAGTGAGGTTGCAGGTCACACCACTGCACTCCACCCTAGGCAACAGAGTGATACTCCATCTCAAAAAAAAAAAAAAAAAGCTGGGCGTGGTGGCTCACGCCTGTAATCCCAGCACTTTGTGAGGCCAAGGCGGGTGGATCCCGAGGTCAGGAGATCGAGACCATCCTGGCTAACATGGCAAAACCCTGTCTCTACTAAAAATACAAAAAAACTAGCCGGGCATGGTGGTGGGCGCCTGTAGTCCCAGCTAGTCGGGAGGCTGAGGCAGGAGAATGGCGTTAACCCGAGAGGTGGAGCTTGCAGTGAGCTGAGATTGCGCCACTGCACTCCAGACTGGGTGACAGAGTGAGACTCCGTCTCTCAAACAACAACAAAAAAATTTAGGCCAGCTGCAGTGGATCACCAGAGGTCGGGAGTTCAAGACCAGCCTGGTCAACATAATGAAACCCCATCTCTCCTAAAAATACAAAAATTAGCTGGGTGTGGAGGTGCATGTCTGTAGTCCCAGCTACTCAGGAGACTGAGGCAGGACAACCACTTGAACCCAGGATGCGGAGGTTGCAGTGAGCTGAGATTGTGCCACTGCACTCCAGCCTGGGCAACACAGCAAGATTCTCCGACTCAAAAAAAAAAAAAAAAAGAGGCCGGATTACAGGTGGCTCATACCTGTAATCCCAGCACTTTGGGAGGCTAAGGCGGGTGGATCACCTGAGATCAGAAGTTCAAGACCAGCCTGGCCAATATGGTGAAACCCAGTCTCTACTAAAAATACAAAAAAATTAGCTGGGCATGGTGGTGCATGCCTGTAATCCCAGCTACTCGGGAGACTGAGAGAGGAGAATTGCTTGAACCCAGGAGGTGTAAATTGCAGTGAGCTGACATCATGCCACTGCACTCCAGTCTGGGCAACAGAGTGAGACTCCGTCTCAAAACAAAAACAAACAAACAAACAGAATAAGGCAGTTCTCTTCTGGTGGATGTGCAGCAATCTCCAAGCGTTACACTGTTAATGATAAAAGCAGGAGGCTGTGTGTGGAGGGAGTTACTGTTTGCATGTGTGGGGGTGAAGGAGATACATACAATAAAATTGTGTCAAAATCTCTGTTACACTGTAACAGTGATTGCCTTTAGGGAGGGGGCCTGCAAATCAGGGGAAACAGCAGGAGATAGACTTGTTTTTCATCATATGTCCTTATGCACTGATTGAACTTTTTTCTGTGCATGTTTTTTTTCTTTTTC